GCCTCCTCCGCCTCCGCCCCCTCCGCCTCCGCCCCCTCCGCCGCCGTCGCCGCCTCCGCCGCCTCCTCCCTCTCCGCCGCGGCCTCCTGCTGCTCGGCCTGGGCCACCGCCTCCGGCCCCGTCTCCCGGAACAGCCCGAACGCACTGCGGACACATCACTTCACTCACCACCTGCTCACGTTTTCTGCAGCTCTCGCTTTGCTGTATATGAGAACTAAAACGAGACTTTAAGGATTTTGTTAACAGAAGTGAAGTGCTCAATAGAACAAGGTACTATCACGCATCAATCTAGATGTGAGATATTGAGGGTGTGTGCCAGAACTTTTATAAAATAACTCACTAAACTTTTAAATGTTTTTATATAACATTTAAATTTAAGATAACATATTACATTTAAGAAAACATAAAGGATATAAATAACATATTACACTACACGAATAATATTTGAAGTTATATTTAATGTCAATTACTCAATTTCACAAAAAAAACCCTTATTCTACTCAGCCCAGACCCGAATATCAAATCGTGTCTGTATCCCGTTTGTAGATACAAATTGTTTTCATCGAAGCTAAAATTTCTTGTTATCAATGGTATCGCTAGCAACGGTACTGCCTCTTTTATATCTAATTATATGGTGTGATGAAGAAAAGAGGGATGTTAATTCGGAGCTTTATAAAATATTCACATGTACATTTGTCGAACAGAGAAACCAATTGCCGGCATACTGAAACTTTTCCTTCTCTTAGAGTCGTTATTCAACAATGAGTTATATTTTTAAGTGCATGGTATCATTTAAATATCTACAATGTAATTAATTTATGCAGAATTCACCCCAGCCACAATAATAAATAAGGTTGAAATATAGATTGGAAAGTTGTGACTTTTCTTCAAATTTCGTAAAGCATGGATACACTTCGAAACTTATATACCAGTGAGATATTGCTGAAGAAAAATTCTTCATATCCACTACACAGAAAACAGAAAACTTTAAAAACCTCCTATCCTCACAACTTGCTTACACACACTTACATGCACTACACTTCCACTCATGTTTAGAGCTTGTTCCGGCTGGGGAGGGCACGATAAAACATACGGTACTAATGACCTTAGCAGTCGACGCGAACGAAAACACTAATTAATCACTCAAAATATAAGAGTAAATAAAAGGGAAGGCAGACGCCCACTCACTGGTGGCCGTGGCCGAAGGCCCCCAGCGGGTTGAGGACGCCGCCGTGGGAGCCCACGCCGAAGCCCATGGGGCCGATGACGCCGCCCAGGCCCTTGTGGAACACCGCGGCGCGCGCGTCCGACTCCGCCTCGCCGCCCACGGGCATGGGGTCCGGGGCGATCCGCTGGACGGGAGCGTGCGCGATCGACACCATGGGCCCCATGGGCACCACGTGCGCACCGTGGCTAAGGTCCTCCGCCAGCCGCGCCGCCTGTGACACATCGCAAGTACATGGAAATCAGCCTCTTCAGGTAAACGTACTCAGACCTCTTTATAACTGGCAGAACTACAGCAAAGAAATACGAGTAATTAGTATAATAAATAAACGGTATTAAGAAGAGGAGTGAGGCAGGGCGAACCAATTTCACCTCAGGTTTTCACGTGTTTGCTGGAAAAAAATCTTCCTTTCACTGAAATGGAGAGAATCTGTTGGGATTAAAATAGATGGAAAATATTTAACCAACCTAATATTTGCCAACGACATTGTTTTGTTCACTACATCAGCTGAAGAATTGAAAAGTATGTTACAGAAGTTAAATCAGCAAAGCATCAAAACAGGTGTACGCATGAATCTACAAAAGAAAAAAGTAATGACCAACTATCATGAAGAACCTATTACCGTGAATTGCAATCAAATACAATATTCACAAGAACACACGTACTTTCGAAAACTCATTTCTTTTCAAAACAGAACCAATAAGCAAATCAACAGAAGAATATGCCTAGCTTGGAATGGATTCTGAACACTTGCTTTCATTCTAACACATACACAAGTAAGCTTTCGAATTAAAAATACAGTAATGGATTCATGCATTCTCCCTGTTCACACCAATGGCTCTGGGACTTGGTCATTAACAAGAAACAAGATTACAAAGAAGTCAAAGAAAAATGGAAAGAAAATCAACAAACAATCTTGGGAATCAACTTCAGAGACAGAATTCGAAAAGAGGACATACCGAACAGCACTGGAATGCAGCTACTCAAGCAGCACAATTGAAATGGAGTTGATGTGAGCACATCATGAAGCAACAAACACAACGCTGGGCTCACTCAACTACATGGGGTAACTGCAGCGCAGTGATGTATTTAAGAGCGAGCTTGGAGATATGAGGTCAAGGGAAGCGAGAGGCAGAGACAAGGGAAAAGCATCTACCGAAGAGTGTGGGACAAAGAGAAAGTTAATGTAATTTTTGTGTTTGGAGTTTGTTAGTGTTTTGTTTTGTAATGTACTTATTGTGGAAAATAAGTTCAGAGAAAATATCAAGCGAGAGAATGAGATAAGCGTAAGACATTGACGGAGGAGTATGAGAAAAAGAAATTCATTTTTTGTGTAACATTGTGTAATTATGTGTTGTGTTCATTTTTTGTTTAACATTGTGTAGTTGGTGTTTGAGGCAGTTGGATACTACGCAAGTTAGAATGAGTATATTATTTCAAATTTATTAGTTCGTTTCTTACATTGGAGCTTTTGTTATACGTTTACAAAATAATATTTTAGAAAATATTTAAAACCAATTTGAAATAAATATGAAATAAAGCTTGCCAGCCTTCGGTCGCCCACTCCCAATTTA